ACTCCATTAGAATTAGAAGATGATAGAAGAAGCTAAGAGGGATGGCACATGCCCATAGTCCCACACATACAACTCAGGAGGAGGACACAGAAGATAAGTAAGGAGTTCAGGGCTAGCCTGGACTGAATGAGACCCTGTTTCAAGAAACAAACAAACAAGAGGCTGGAGAGGTGGCTCAGCAGTTAAGAATACTGGTTGTTCTTGCAGAAGACCTGGGTTTGAATCCCAGCACCCACATGGCAGCTAACAACTGTCCATAACTCCACCAGGGGATCTAACAGCTTCTTCTGTCCTCTGTGGGCATTGCACAATAACACAGGCACCTAAACACAGGCAATACACACATACACATAAAATAAAATAAAAAATAAATAAAATATATAAAAAGAAGCAACAAACAGAAAACTGTTCAGACAAAACAAAAAAAGTTAGAAAAGGTTTCCATTCATGAAAAGTCCATTTATTCTTTCTATGAAGAAAGTACCATAGTAAACTCTTCAAAGATTTTGAAGGTATATAAGATGCAATTTCAACAATGTCTTGACTGTACATGGAGCTTACAAAAAAACATGTAAATGTCCCCAAATAAAGCCACAAATAGCATAAGGTGGGCTATTAGAGTCAATACAGTTATTGTGTTGGGAGGAAGATCACTAAGATAGAGGAGCATTAAGGAAGCCCAAAGTGGAAACACACAAATGACCTTAAGAAGTAGAAATCATGTGAAGCCATTCTAGAAAGAAACAAGACTCAAAAGTACATGTGATAGCAACTTCGGCTGAAGTCTTGATAACTGATGGGAAGCATGCTTTGAGGCCACACTGCATAGAGTGTTGAAGCCCGATGAAGAGATTTGTTCAATAGAAATTAACAGTCTTTGAAAGTTGGTCAAGAGGGAGTAGAGAACTAACAGAGGGAGAGGTTTGGATCTCACGTCTGCTAGGCCAGCCCAGGTGAGTTACGTGAAGACTCGGAGTGTGATACCAGCTGCAGAAGTAAAAAGCAGAAATAAACTTAAGCAGGAGTGGAGAAGCTGAGCGTACAGAGTTCATCAATTAATTGGAAGCAGGAAAAATAGGTGATGGTAACAAAAGTGGCCATATTGTTTAACATTGGACCATTGTGTGGTGGTAGAACCAGCACAACAGGGCAGTAAAAACAAGGAGGAACGGAGGAACTTTGATGGAGGACGATGTGTTTAGGTATCTTGAAAGTTTGGTTTGATTTCAGGGGACTGTGCTTGAGACGAATACTTAGAAGGCTGTTGGAAATATGGATTCAAAATGCAATCATTGAGTAAATACATACTGAGCATCTTGTGTATTTAACAATGACCATAGACATTATTGATTGAAAATGGAGTGAAATCTGTCTGTATGTACAGAGGTCCTTGTTTGGACTAAGGAAATAAATAGATATCAGGAAAGTAACTATAGTTCAGTTGTCATAACAATGTGTCTGCACAATCTGAGCAGAGCTGTGAAGGCACAGAGGACAAAGCTGTTTTGATTGTGTGGAAGTGATTCCCACAAATCAGTGAGCAAAGGCTTTCATGAACCATGCAAGCTGATAACATGGGAAATTATTCCAGACCTAATGTGGATTTCTTATAGAAATGAACATTTGACCTAGAGAGTAAATAAGAATATTACAGTACTGAAAACAAAACCTGGAAAAACCCAATATATTTCCAGGAGGGAAGATGTTACAGAGTCAGTGAAGACACAAACTCTAATTTCCCAAACAACAGGAAATTCGAGATAGGAGAAAGTTCAATGGTGAAATGTAAATAGAATCCTCATGAACTTGATTTTAAAGAAATACTATCAAGGAGCTTATAGCAATGTTTTTACGAGAATTGTTGAGTCTTGGAATTAAGCAAAGATTGATGGTGATGTTTGAAAACAATTTTCAAAAGAATATAGTCATGGCACAAAAGTGGACTTTGAAAGAGTTAAGTATGAGGAAGAAAAAAAATGATGCCTTCCTCAGAAATCCTGAAATACTGCTTGCTCTACCATCCCAACCCCTAATTCTCTGAATATTTCCTTTTCTTCATTTATTACCGTAGATGTTCCTGCCTCAGACATACCTACCTGTCCAGTCATCTCATAAAAAGTTCTCTTGTGTGATACCAGCACACTATTCTTTTGTACAATCTGTAGTATGTTGCTTGTATATTGAGTATCTGTCCTTACTCAACTCTATTGTGTAAACTTGGGCACCATGAGAATTTGTTCTCCACACCCATTAGTTTCAGCACCTATTATTCTTTGTGATAAATGGAGAGAGGTAGAAAAAAAGGGTAGAGTATTTCCACAGCAAATTTCTAGGACATGAAATAGTATTAAAAGACATGTCAATATCTAACATGTCACCCAGTATTTGAAGAGGTGGGGAAGTTGAGGCATACTTAAAATTAATCCTAAAGCATAATTACTGGAATCCCTGATGGACTCACTGAGAACAGGGTGGGATGAAGAGGAAGGAGCTCTGTTTTAGAACATCAATGACAAGATGGGAGAAAAAGAACTAAAACACATGAAATAAGCTTCATAAATAAGTAGAAAATGAGTTAACCAGTAAAATGTTGTGACAGTTGATATTGTCAACTTGACAGGATGCCAAGTCCCCTAGGTGATAAACTCTAGGTTTACTGCCTGGAGGTATTATCTAGATTAAATTAACCTCAGGGCATACCTGTGGGGGATTATTTTAATTAGGAGAACTGAGGTGGGAAGACCACCCTGTGGAGCCACTCCCTGAGCTTAAGTCCTAGACTAAGTAAAAAGGAGAAAGGGGGCTGAGTGCCAGTGTTCACTGCTCTCTGCTTCCTGGTTGTGGGGCCATGTGACCAGCTGTTTCAAACTCCTGCTGCTTTGACCGCCCTGCCATGATGCGCTTAAATTATCCTTGAGCTATCAACTGAGATAAACTCTTTCTCCCCTTGAGTTGCTGTTATCAAGGTATTTTATCACAAGAAGAAGTAACTGAGGCAAAAGTATAATGCCTTCTTCACATTATCAAGTGAGTTGAGAAGTGATAGAGGGTTAGGAGTCAAGAGCAGTGTGGTAGAACCATATTTCAACTAGGTTAGAATGGTATAAAGGGCACTTGAAGTATGAGGAAGGAAGTGCGGAAGGAAAAGCAGAACACAGAGACACCGGAGGCTCCAGTGCAACAGGACTAACATGAGGGATAACAGGAGATGGCTGAATGGCTACCCAGGGGACCGTTCCTGTAATGGAAGTGCTTAATGAGTATTAATTGGCTAGTGGACTTATTCAGTATAAATCCATCATTGTTTCTAGAAAATCATTGAATAGTAATAGAAAATGAAAATATTCAATATGTGGTTCCAGGTCTTCCAATGTAGCTGCATGCAAATATCTATTATTTACACTGTTTTCAACTAAAAATATTTTCATGTCTTTTAGTGCTGTCATGTTAGCCTATAAGTTTTACAGAGTATTCACAGCTACTTCCCTGAAATTCTTGGTTTTGGAAAATAGAAATTGATTTCCCCAGTATTTTTAAATAACTAATCTTGCCTTAGAACACACTTGTTTAAAATGCTTTATTAAAATCAATCATGAAAACTAACTTTAATTTGTGTCTACCTCAAACACAGTCCACGGGTTTGGTGTTTTTGGTTTTAATCAGTAGTGAAATGGTTAGGCAGCCTTGAGAACTTCTCCCTGTTACAGAATTGAAACTTCCCTTGTGACCAGTGTCATCACCTGGGTTTGTAAGGTGACTGGCAGCGAGGGTGTTATCACAGAAGAAAAAAAAAAAAAAAAAAGAGGCCTTTGTTTGTTCTCTGGAAAAAACTAAGTAATTCCTCGGGGAGTCCAATGAGAGTCACCAGCCTGATTTACACTATCCTGCAGGACCAAAGGCTCTGGCCCAGACCAGTTGTTCATATTTTTTGTTCTCAACAAATTTCAACCCGGGAGTTGAAGTGCTCCATGACAGTTTCATGAATAATGGTGTATTAAATCATGCCTCTGTCCATGAAGATTTTTTTTTTCTTACCAGTTTTAAAAAAGTTGTGCACCATGAGCATTATAGTACCTATTTTAATAGCTGTGTTGAGACCATGGCTCCCTGACTAGTAGAAAAAAAAAATTGTTTCTTGAATATGAGATGCTTTGAAAAACCACCATTTTCCTTGTAACTCAATATTTCAGGGCCTCAGTAGCTCTGGGTAATAATCCTGACTCGGAGCACCTCGTAGGGTAATTCTTGGTATCACAAAGACAGTGTCTGTGCAAGACATATACACCTGCTGCAAAGCTTTGCTGTGTGAAGTTACCACCCAGTCCAGAGAAAAGAGAAACCGACCCACCTGCCTCTGCCTCCCGAGTGCTGGGATTAAAGGCCTGCATCACCACACCTGACTCCTACTTTCATCTGTAAATCTTTCAATGCTTGAATTCTTTCAGGTTTCCTGGTACAGAACAAATAATCTCTATTAAACAATGATATTTCAAGTTGTTATAATTTTAGTTTTTCTTCAGAGAATTTCTCAGTTCTTACTAAAGCTCATGTACATGGGAGAGGGAGTCTGCATGTGCGGGCACACACACACACACACACACACACACACACACAGGTACATCCATCCAAGACAGCCTGATTCATCTTTTTAATGAGTCAAACCTGACATAATTATGTAAAAGTTAATGTGCTAAGAGTCACATAATTTGAAAATTGATCATCTGCCCGTCATGTTCAGGAATACAGTCAGAGCATGAGTTGAGTTGATTCAGTCTTTCCCCTATTACCGGAGGTACAATCTGCCTATCTTCTTGCTGTCTTTTAGCTTTAGTAGACAATTTATTATTACAGTTCTGCCTAAATTGGAATGTGGAGGAGGAAGAGACCAAGTCTGAAAAGCATAGAAATGTTTTTTTCCAAACTAGCAAAAGCTAGCTGTTAATTTTGCTTTGGATGAAGCTGAGACCAAGCAGCACACTAACCCTGAGCTCTCTTCACAGTGGGTAAACCTCACAAGTGCAACTACTGTGGACGAAGCTACAAGCAGCGCAGTTCACTGGAGGAGCACAAGGAACGCTGCCACAACTATCTCCAGAATGTCAACATGGAGGCTGCGGGGCAGGTCATGAGTCACCATGGTGGGTAGAAACAGCGTTTGGGATTCTCATTCCCTCCTCTTCTGCTTGTGTAGCTCCTCTTGTGGTCTAAGTCCTCCTTCTGCCTTTCTACATGAAGACAGACTCTTACTGTGTTTCACACAGTTTTAAACCACATTAACTTTGTATGGGATTATCTTCCTTGGCAGTTGGCATAAGCTGTTTTGGAATACAGTGCAAACAAGCTTATTAAGTTTGTGTGGCACTCCCAGATTGTTTCTGATGACACGTGTTTGAATTAAGGCAAGTGGCAGCCAGGCTGAATACACCAGAGGCAAGTACTGTTGAGTGTTCTCTTGGATTTCTCCAGCCAAATGGTAGAAGAGATTCCACATAATCTGTAGGGTTCCTGAGAGAAAGGATATACGTTGTTTGCAGCTTCTTCATGGGTAGACAGTCTGTGACATAACTTGAAATTTTTCCAACCTGCCTCATAATTTATTTGGGAAATTAGTCATTTTACTTTCTACAAGTGTAAGAAACAGTCTAGGCAAAATTTAAACTCATCTCCTTCCCCCGAAAATACATTCTGTAAGCAAAGCATCTTAATCTTCCCAATATTGCTCTAGGAGGCAGAAAGGTGGTCCCTGAGGTTTGCCACACCTGCAAAGTGTTTGAGTTAATCAGCCTTACAAAGAAAAGTAGTGAATTTCAGTTTTGTAGATTTGTAGTGTCTATCTTGCCTTACTATTTTTTAATATTATATTTATTTTTATTTTATGTGTTTGAGTGTATTGTCTGCATGCATATAAGTGCACCTGTGTGTGCAGTGCCTGCAGAGGTCAGAAGAGGGTGTTGGATCATCTGGAACTGGAGTTATGGATGGTTGCTAGCTGCCATGTGGGTGCTGGGAACTGAACCTCAGTCCTCTGGAAGAGCAGTCAGTGCTCTTAACTGCTGAGCCATCCCTCCAGCCCCTATAACTTTATTTTTTTATTTTTATTTCTATTTTAAAAGATTTGACCAATACTAAATGATATAAGCTCAGTCACTATAAATATTCATTGACATAGACATAGCCAACTCAAGGAGCATTTATGGGATGTTTTAGTTTTTATGTCTATAGAATATACTGTGGAACTGTACTTAGGTAGTTAGTGATTTGTGGTTGTGATTTTGGAAATTTTTAAACTTTAAATATTTTTGTTATTTTAAATAATTAAGCATTTTCTTATATTGAGAATAGGTTGTATCATCTAAAGAATTTGACTTAGTTTGATTCATTGTTGTGAACAAATTCAACTATTTTTATATTAGTAGCAGTAGTAACTAACATTTCCCTAGACCTATCCCTGCTTCAACTTTATGTAAATTCAGCTGCAAGCTTGCATTTTCTGGGTGGGTGAGGATAACATAGAACCCAGTGCATGGAGGTTATACACTAGTGGGCCTTGGAGTCCAGTAATCCTGGTCTGACATTGTGGTGTCTGAATATGTTATATTTAGGTATGGTGTGAGAGCTAAAGATGATGGGTTATATGATAAATGCCACCTCAATAGTTGTATTTGCTGTTAGATATCAGGACATTAACACTAAGAAACAGTAAATAAACCATTCCCTATAATGTGAACAGTGTTAACTTAAACATTGTATATTACATTTGCCTATGCAAAGTACTGCTTTGGTTTAAATTGTTGGTTTTAAGGATAACTGGAGGCAGAGAGCTGATAGACACTTAGGAACTTGCCGAAGCTTACCAGAGACATGACAGCATCATGACTAGTTTTCCGTGTAGTGCTTTCCCAATATAATCCTAGCATTTGATGCAAATTCCATTCATTAATTTGTTTTTCCATTCATTCATTTCTGGACATCTGCATTACATATGGTACCAAATAAGAACCAGAGTTTCTCATGACTGTATTGTTGTCAAGAAGATATAAATGCCTAATTATCAACATTGTCTCTTAGCATATTGACCTGTCATAGAATTAGTGTCACATTTCATGGAGAAATAAAGATAAATCTAAATAACTTGGACTTTGGTATTGTCCCTTTTTCCTAGATTGTTTAGCTCTTCTCAAGCATAGACCCTTCATGAGGTGGTGCTGAACCTACAACAGAACAGAGAATGAGCTTAAAGAGTTGAGATGGGGACACTGGGCAGAGCAGAGGCAAAAAAAGCCAGGGAGGAGTAGTGGGTGATGGCAGGTTTTGATATCATAGGCTTTAACGTTTGCTCTGAAACAGTGTTTTAACCGCATTTCATATTGTGATTTTCTGGGTTCACGGTAATATTTTGAGAGCATCCTAAATCCTTTTCCTCACATGAACATACTTAATAGGGAATTGAGTGTATGAAGTAGCAGGTGATAAATGCCGCAAAGGAGGAAACCATGAGTGACTGATGCTAAGGCTCACTGTTAGTCTTGTTTCATAGATACGGCTTGGCTTGTACCTCAAACATTCATATTTATTGCCTTCCTTCTCTTCCTGTCCTCAGTCTTGTCTACTTTCTCCCCTTTGTTTTAGTGGTATGAGTGATGGTTGTTCATCATATGGCTGTCATTAACTCTATAAACTGGATTTTTATTTCATGTCTGACATAGTTTTTATTTCCTAGCCTCTCTTTTCCAAGACATGTTTGTCCCCATGTTGGCTCTTCATGACAAGACGTGTCTGAATTAAAAAAGACATTCTTTCACTTCATGCAAAAAACATGAAGGACTTACTGTTTGCAATGTTCTATGGAACATACTGGAAAGAGAAAGATCAAAAGACACACTTCATTTCATACACTTATGTTCTGGTAGGGAACAATTTGTGTTAAAAATAAAATGAATGAAGCAAAATCTGTAATGAAGATGCCCACAGTTCTCCAGGAACACAGATAACAGGTTTAGTTAATGAGGACGTCAAGGAACAATTCTAGACACACATAGCATCAGATCTGAGCGTAAAGGATGAGTGAAAATTCCATCTATCTGACAGCACACAGACGATACATTCCATGTGGAGAAGAGGTGTGGAGGTATAAGAGATCATTACCAGATAATACAAGCTAAATAAAGGAGTTACAGGAAATGAAGCTGAAGTAGTTGATTGTGATGCAAAAGCAGGCCCTCCTGTGCTAATCCAGGCTTTAAATTTCATAGCATGATTGATGGGGAGCCACTGGGTGATCAATTTTGTGACACCAATGCAGAGTATAGGATTGATATCTGCCTGGGTCAGGGGGTGAGTACGGGCGGAGACGATATGAAGGTGTGTTTAGGAAGGAAAATTCAAAGTTCTTATAAGCATTGATTGAGTTGGAGGCAAATGAAGTCTGTTTGTTCTTAGAATTTGAAATTTGATGACTTTTTTTTGTTAAAAGAAACTGTTGGGAATACTCACGTGGATCTACCTTTACAGCTTATCAATGTGATGAAATAATAGCAATGAAAAAATAAATACACTTTTATTTTGGTTGTAACTTCAAATAAAGTCAAAGAAGATACTTAGTTTTGGACTTTGCTCAAGCAAATGAAGCTACTGTCATAACACATAGGTAAACCTTTAGCCTCCATAAATGCCTTGCCATGTGAGTAATGCAACTGAGATATGAGACCTAGACAATATACCTTGAGTTTTAAGCAGCATATATCCAGAAACATTGTTGGGTCGCACACAATTCATGAAAGCAGAATCTCAAATTGCATAACTGAGGAAAAATGTGTCATAACGTTTCTCCATGGTAGAACTTACAAGTATATCAAACTGGTTTAGAAAATGTCAGCATTCAAAATATAGCTGCAAAAACTTAGTATAGCATAGCCCAGGCTCTGAGGCCAGACTTCCCAGTAGAAAACACTCTGTACTTGCTCGTGGTGCACTGAGAAAAATATTGAATATCTCTGAGTCTTTGATTCCCCATCTGTAAAACGAAAATGGTAATAGCACGTGTTTCATGAGGTCCTTGAAACTACTAGTAGATTATTAAATACAAAGCCTTGAAGTGGTACTTATCACCTAGCACATGTCAATTATTGCTTCTGCCAGTAAGGTAGAAAGAAGACAGACTTTTCTCAAAAATGGCTGTTGAAAATAGAAGTTAGACCAAAACTCTGCCCGAATCATTGTTTTCAGTTCACGAGCTTCATTGAAGTTGGAACAAGTCATCTGAGCTGAGGTGGATGTGGTGTGGGACAGTTCCCACACCCAGGTTTCATTTTGAGTATTAGGTATGTACAAGTATGAAAATTCAGGGTAAGACTTAGAGTAAAACAGCCAGCTTGTAGACTACTCATTTCAGAACCGATTAGCATATTCAATTTGGGGGGCAAACCCCATCAACTAGTTTTGCTGCTTTTTTAGCAAATTTTGCAGTGTTTTTTCTTACCAATGTTTTTTTCATTTTAGATATAGGTCTATGCCATATTTATTCTTTAGTTCACACATGGACTACTTTGTACCTTTGTAGATGTTTGATTTTGTTTTTTTGAGACAGTCTTGGTATGTAGCTCAGGCTAACCTACAACTTAACTTATGACCATTCTCTTGCCTCAATTTCCCAACTGTTGGTCATTTTTTATAGTTCTTAAAGATCATATAATGCATATAGAGTCTTATGTAAGTCCTTGGGCCATATTCTCCTCTTGATAATATCAGAAGGAATATCAGTGTAGATGACCTTATTACTAAACTCTATCTTGAATTTTTTCCTAACCTCATATCCAACAGTTACATAATTGCTTATTATTCAGAAACAGATGCTTTATTATTAAGTGTAGATTAAACATTAACCTTTTGTGGTCAAGCTACTAGGTTACCCAAACATAAATTGAATGTTGATTTCTTTAAACATGGCTGAACTAAGAAAACCTATGTATTGATGCTATTTGTTTCTTCAAGATCAGCAAAATGTGTTGGTTATTAAATGGGTCACCTGAATTGTACTTTCAATTTTCTTCATTTTCATTTCTGCTTTAAAATTTTGACTGTCCATCAGCAGGATCCCTTATAGATGAGAATGCTTTAGGCTACACATAGTAGGCCTATCCTCTTCAAACAAAAGGATTCAAGTGAATCACTTTACAGTCATGCTGTCTGATCAAAGAGAGCCTTTAGCTCTTTCTTATGAGCACTAACTTTAATCAGATGATCTGATCCATGTGAAATGTTACCCTATTGTTAATTAAACATCTGGGACAGGATTTCTGCTCAAAGCAACTTTTATAAATGGCTTTGTCTACACTATGAATATCAATAACGAAGCCCCTGGCAACTTAGAAATGCCATGAAGAGAGCCCAGCACTGGGGCCTCTGTCAAATGAATTAGGGCAGTAGTTTAGTGAGCCAGTGTGCCAGTTTAGAAGTGGATCCCTTTATCCTGCCGAAGAGCTGTTTTTAAAACTAAGTTAACCATCTTAAAGCTGCACAGTTTACTATGCGTTAGCAAGTTCAGAACCAGATCTCCTTCTTGAAGGCTGCTTTGTACAGGTAGTGAGACTGCTGTCAGTGAGGCTAAGAACTCACCAAATACAAAAATTTGCTGCAGGAAATCACATGGGAGGCATCATTGTGTTGTTATTCTGTCTAGTTAAGCTTTTCTCCAAAACAAGCTGATATAAGTAAATTCTTTTAGACGAAAATAAAGTCCGAAAACCTTGAAAATAGTGTAATTTTAAAGTATAGTAGATTTTCATCTACACTAAAAATACATTCAGAGGAGTAAAATGAAAAACCAGATAAACATGTTGATCACCAGTCATGGCATACACACAGACCACTGTGTGTGTATGTATGTTAAAATTAAAGACTATTCTCTTAGACTGTACGATTTTTTTTCTTGCTTTTGTTCAAGTAGACTAACTTATTTTTTGTAACACAGATTGAGATGGCATGCATATCTCGGTGTATTTCAAATGTTGAAGAAATTACCAGAGTGCCTCTTTCTATGTTTTGATATAGTACCTCCTATTGAAGATTGTAAGGAACAAGAGCCTATTATGGACAACAATATTTCTCTGGTGCCTTTTGAGAGACCTGCTGTCATAGAGAAGCTCACGGCAAATATGGGGAAACGTAAAAGCTCCACTCCACAAAAGTTTGTGGGTAAGCAGTATAGTGCTTTTGCTTCTCCACAGGGTGATTTCAATTGGAAAAGATAAGATCACATGTGTTAGAATTATATATGACATGTTTCATAGCATGAAAAAAGTCTATGTCTTTTCTCCATTAATATCTCCCAACTGTGTGACACTGCAGTGTGTCACACCCTTGGGCATATGGGAAGGAGTTAAAGGAAGACTACCAGAGGAAAACACCATCTCAGCATACATCCATGAAACAGCATGTGAAAACTCGAGTGTTACTTTAAATAATCATACGGAATAAGGGAAGAGGTCTGCACTGTTGGCCATATTTGGAATTTCTTTTAAATTTTCATTAATGCCAGGTTTTTGACTGTTTTCTGTCATTAATTTTAGTATTTGACCCAGAATTAAGAATCATTTAAAAATTTTTCCCAAAACTCTGCTGTAGAAAAACAATGTAGCAGCCTGCATCCAAAGTGTTTCATGTGTGCACCTTTGTTTTACATTTCGATCCTTGTTTTTTCATCCAGCTTATGATTTTGAACCAAAAAGATTTGGTATCATATATCTGAACTTTGTTTTTTCATTGCCAGGCCCTTAGATAGTCTTTGGTACGCCCAGTGTAGACATCACTCTGCATGCATGCTGTAAGTCAGGGAGTATCTGAAGACAGAGACTCGTGCATTTTTTAAAGACTATGAATAATGAAGAGTCAATAGAAAGAGTTGTTAAAGAACCTTGTTCATTGTATGTATAATATATCTTTCTTGTACTGACAGAGTTAAGAGGTACAAAGAGGTAAAAATATAAAACAGATTCTCACATTCTAGTATCAGAGAGTGTTTTAGGATAGCCTTATTGAGTTATTCCAGTAAGACCTTCGAGAAGGCTTCTTCCAAATTTATAATTAACTAGCCAGTCCCTTATCACATTAATATCAGCTGGTGGGATTCAGTAAGAGCTCGTCAAAACAAGACCAGTAGGTGAGTCCAAGTGCCATGGTTTGTGTGGATTCGGTTCAAGTCCCTAGACCATACTAAATGACCCATGACAACAAGCTTTGTTTCTATTCCTTTTCTTCCTTCTTATAGGTACCTACAAATAAAGGGGGCTATGCCAGTTTACTTATTTGTTTTATTTTGATTTTATGTTACTTTATGTATTTACATTTTTTGTATTATGAGGACCATGTCTCACTCCATAGCCCTGACTGGTGTGGAACTCCCTCCATAGCTTAGGCTAGACTTACACTCACAATAGTCCTCCTGCCTCAGCCTTCTGTGTGCTCATGTGGAGGCATGAACCACCATGTTCAGCACTTCATGTCTTTTAAACATTGAATAGTTTGTGAGAGATAAATATTTATATGTTAAGTGGCCACCAGTGTAGTTGGAAAAAGTAGGAAGTTTGTTATTATTTCTGCCTTCTGGATTTATATATTCTGCTTTGTGTAACACTTCATGTTTCCTATGACTTAGAGACATTGCTCTCAATATGATCTAATAACATTTCTTAAAATAAGGGTACAGTTTTAAAAACCTATAATATAATCACAAAAGAACATTATATTTTTATTTAAATTTGAGATTTTTCTAATTTATAGAGTTAAATAGTAATAGCAGCCAATCATTACAGTAACAAAGTAGCTATTTCTGTGATTGCTGTTGAAATGGAAATTTCTATCACTAAAACATCATTAAACCCTTTCCCCACATCCCTCCCATTGAATACTGCTGTTTGACCTATGAAGCTCTCCAGGCAGTGATTCCTGAAGTGATAAGTATCTGTCTCTTCCTCCCATCCTGGTTCAACTTAGATTTCTTAGTTCATCCCTTCCAACATTCTTGATTCTCTTGCCTTGTCCTGCTGCCTTCTCCCAGTGAAACCTCAGTCTCAGGAGTCAGACTCAGCATCTTTTCCACATTTCTATCCCAGCTGCTAGTATTTTTGGAAAAAAGTCTTACAGCTTTATAAATTACTGTCACTACAGAAAATGTGTAACTGACCCAAGACACCAGTTTGCCCACTATGGTATGTAGTGACATTCCTTTGATCTATCCCCTAGTAGTCTTCGCTCTAATCCCCATCATGGCCCCATTGACTCTGTTATCTACTCTCTACACACCTGGTATCTGTCTCCTTGGTGATCTATCTATACTCACAAGGGGTAAGATGAGTTAACATGATTTCAGGATGATACCATGAATCCTAAAAGATAGTGTATATCCAGACATGGTGTGTTCTTTTTTCTTAATTCAATGAAAGAAGTATCCCTCTTTCTGATTAAGGTTAGTTCCTGGTTTGGGCTTCTGAATTCTATTTGTCCACACACTGTTATTTCCTTCTGTCTCACTTGCCTGTGTGCATGACATGACAAATTCTCGTAACTTCAACAAAAACCTCCCATTGATCCCAAGTCTCCTTTTGTTCCTATCACCTGCTTTCCTCTCTTCAAGAATGGAGTTGTTGAAGGAATTTTCAGAGCCTACTATCCAGCTTTCTTTCGTTTTGTTCATTTTCTAGTACATACAACCTGGCTTTCTTCCTCGGGCCCCACTGAAATTGCTCTTATGGAGGTTGCAACCCAGTTCCATGCTTCTGAATCCAAAGAGTCATTTTTAAACTGTGTCTTACACACATCTTAAGGAGCATTTGCCACTGTTGAATAGTTAGCTCCTTCTGAAAAACGCACGCTCCCCTTGGTGTCTATGACATTCGTCTCTCTTCCTTTTCCTCCTGCTTCTCTGTTCCTTCTCGTTCAGCTCTTCTGTTGTGACAGAGTACTAAGGGAGTCCGCCATTCATATGTGTGACTATCTTAATAGTACAAAATAAAACCAAAAAACATGTTTTGCCCTCCTAAATTGGAAGATTAAGTTCATATGAATAGAGAATGCTGGACACCTCACCACGGATGTTCCACATTAGACCTTGGGAGCAAGAACAGGATTGCCCTCTGACAGACCCATTCCTGACTCCATCCATTATCAAAGAGACCTCACACAGACACATGCATAGACACTCCTGCCTGTACATACAAGTTCTTTTTGCATCATACCCCACATAAAGCACTAAAGAGTAATGTCTTCACTGTGTGTCAGACCTGAGTGTGTGTATTCCAGTACACAGTTGGCAAAGAGGATGTAGAGCCCTAGAAGCATACTCAGAAGCTAAGGAATTCTGGGCCCTTGTACACAAATGAGTCAGATGTGCATTTACTGGTCATAGAACATCGTCATTCCATTAGAAGCGAGACTAGAGGCTTTCTGAACACGATGCTGAATATAAGATTCCAGCTTGGCTTAATCTGTGTTGGCATATGAGTTTTTCCAGGTCTATTTTTTACCTTCTTTTCACAATTTACCGTTTGCTGAGTGGTATCATTGACTGTCATGGCTCCTTTCTATATATCAAACCCACATTTCTCTTCTAAGAGATATAACTATTACTCATATTGAGCCACAAACTGAATTGATCATCTTTTCTATCTCACTGTCATCCCCTAGTTTCCCAAATCTGAATACTCAGCTTCATGCTTCTCTCTGTCATGGCCTATGCCTAGATTATCACCAAGCCCTAACAATAGTATTTTTTGTATCTCTGCTCCTTCCTCTGCCCTGTATCTGCACTGCCATGACACTAGTCCAGGCTACCCTGATCACTGTAGCAACTCTTGTTCATTCTTGTTAAGTGAGTGTTTAATCAAGTCACTTTCCCTGTTTAACCACTGCAAGCTCTAATACTTTTCAAGATAAAATTCCTCCCTCTCCTGTTGAGTGAGCCCTTAATATCACACTCTTCTCACTCATCTGTTTCCTCTCTCAGCCATGTTGAAATGTCATTGCTTATTCATAAGTCATGCCCTCTTGATTCAGAGTCTTCCTGCCCACCAGCAGCTCCACCTCCACATCTCTTCTCTGGGCTAATGTTTACCATCACACTGGTCTCCCCAACACCACTTCCTCTCCCTGTATAAGTTAAATATATCTCTTCTTGGAGTCTGTAATACCTACCTTGTGAATGATCGTTAAGCTCTTTGGGAACATAGGTCAGGCTTATCTGGCTTAACTTTGAAACTTTTAAAGTTGCAATATCTAAAAATGGGTGCCAGGATATGATTTCTTATGTTTTTCTTCATTGATCTACCTTTGGGCGTTTACTTCTGATCTGAAATAACACTTCTTGAATGTGCTTTTTCCATCGTGCAGTGCTGTGGATCCACAGCTCCTAACAGCATTACACATTATGTTTCTACCCACAGAAACATACTCCATACTACATGTAAATAAGCAGGAGATGTATATTTTAGAAAAACTTTATCTATAAGCTTTATTTGTCAAAATATCTAGGTAAAGACCACATTGTTTTCCTGGCTGTTTTTTTAAATCAATTATTCCATCATCTGAGACTATTGCTATTTTTCTGGTAGAAGCACCCAGGCTATGTTATGGCTAGTGTTCAGACCTTGTGCTGAAAAAATTTTGTTTGTTGTAGTAAATATTAAAGAAAAGACATGGAATCTAATAACAGAAATATATAATATCACCATCACACATACCAGAATAAAGAAAACAATGATATAAAAATGAAAGACTGTCAACTTCAAGAACCGAACTGAAATATGTTTCCTGTTGGCGAACTAGTTCCTTGGAAGTGATTTCTAATACAATTTAAGTAGCCTTTAATTTTATTCATTTTATCAGATGACACAGCTTTTAAACTCTTTTAATAATGACTTTAAAATTCTATGGACTGACATATATTGGTTCTATAACTTTTCTGAATCAGTTGCTAAATCAACCAAGTAATTCCTGTCTGAGTGATACAACAGGCTGTACGCAGATCCCTCGTGCCGCCACGGTCTTTTCAGCTGATCACTGTGTTTGATACATGCAGAAATAAGCATGGTCTCTGACATGTTCGCCTGGCACTCATTCTTCATCCTATGCGTGCCATGCGACAATTACAACTGAGGTGAAAGTACACCTTTCCCTGCCGTCTGTGTGTGTTCCTGTGGCAGTATTAGAACAAGGGCGTGTGACGCGTTACCAGTTCTTTTTGTCGTGCTTATAAAACCTGTGCATCTGAACAGAATTGAAGGAGCCCAAATACTTGATCTAAAGACTAAAATACACCCTTTTGTGTAAAACATAAGAGATTAGTTATTCGTACCTTTCCATATTTGTAGTCCAGTCACTAAATTTGTTGTGCTTTTTTCTTTTCCTTTTCCCTTCCTCTTTTCTAATTTTAGGGGAAAAGCTCATGCGATTCAGCTACCCAGATATTCATTTTGATATGAACTTGACGTACGAGAAGGAGGCTGAGCTGATGCAGTCTCATATGATGGACCAAGCCATCAACAATGCAATCACCTACCTTGGAGCTGAGGCCCTTCACCCTCTGATGCAGCACCCGCCAAGCACAATTGCTGAGGTGGCCCCAGTCATAAGCTCAGCTTATTCTCAGGTCTATCATCCAAATAGGATAGAAAGACCCATTAGCAGGGAAACCTCTGATAGTCATGAAAACAACATGGATGGCCCTATCTCTCTCATCAGACCAAAGAGTCGACCCCAGGAAAGAGAGGCCTCTCCCAGCAATAGCTGCCTCGATTCTACTGACTCAGAAAGCAGCCATGATGACCACCAGTCCTACCAAGGAAACCCTGCCTTAAATCCCAAGAGGAAACAAAGCCCAGCTTACATGAAGGAGGATGTCAAGGCTTTGGATGCCACCAAAGCCCCCAAGGGCTCTCTGAAGGACATCTACAAGGTTTTCAATGGAGAAGGAGAACAGATAAGGGCCTTCAAGTGTGAGCACTGCCGAGTCCTTTTCCTAGACCATGTCATGTACACCATTCACATGGGTTGCCATGGCTACCGGGACCCACTGGAATGCAACATCTGTGGCTACAGAAGCCAGGACCGTTATGAGTTTTCATCACACATTGTTCGAGGGGAGCACACATTCCACTAGGCCTTTTCATTCCAAAGGGGACCCCTATGAAGTAAAGAACTGCACATGAAGAAATACTGCACTTACAGTCCCACCTTCCCTCATGTTTTTAATACTGTTACTGTCTCTAATTCTTATTTTGTGGACACAGTGTCATTTGCTCTGCCTAATTATAATAAGGAAGAAATGAGAGATGGGAGGGGGATGTTCACCGATAACTCGGCTTGTTTATTTTGTGGGAGTTTAAAGCAGTTCAGTTCTGCCTTCCACATTAAGGCTTATGTCGTGGTTTGGAAAAAATCACATGATTCATATAGATTCACCTAAGATATTTGGAGTTTCCACTGATATCCAGGGTTGTTATTGAAGGCAGGAAAGTTGAGAGTTTTCTGGGTAGGACTGTGGCAATTTAAAATGGTCTAAGTAATTTTATTCTCAAAGAAGATGTTTCCCAAAATGTAAACCGGTTTTCTTGTTCTTAGAGATCATGGAACACAAACATATTGTTACTTTGAATAACTCCTAGGAAAAGTTGAGTTGTGGGTTCTATGTTTACCTCCCCTATGGAATTTATAATTCAGTATGTTTTACACTATACCATATAGCAAAACTTTTAAACTACAGGTAGGTAAGGGCCACTATGATACATCTGAGGTCCTTTGATCTTATTTTTCTAAACTTAAGCACTGTTTTTCCATAGTCTTGATGACTGGCATTTTATAGACACCCAGGCAGCCTTACTTTTAACACCTGTAACAAATAGTATTTTTATGTAGTTTTCAGAATAACATATGGTCTAAGAGTGGGTAAAAAGCAGTCAGTAACTTCCAAGAGGGAATTCTACTTTTCACAAATTTAATATTTTTTTTAAGTTGTAATGTGATGGCAGCCTAGTATACATATTCATTCAAAAAGTGTGTTTACTATTGTCACTTTATCAACATTTAATCAGTGTTAACCAGTCAGCAGAAAAATGTAATGAGGCTAACAGTAGGGGAAATCCCACTCTGAGAACCCTTTTCTGGTATTTCTCTTCAAGCGTGACCATTCAGTGTTCTGTCCATTGTCCATTCTTCTTTTACTCTTGGAGTAGAAGGTCTGGAAAAGTCTTGCTATAGGCTGCCTCTTTCACAATCTCCTCGGAGCAACTGCTAATTGGACATAAATGCGGTCGCTTAAACCCTGTAAGATTATTGAACTAGGGCTATTTATTCTAGTGTTTCTTCAGTAATAATATTTACTGCTTTTGCTGCAGACAGAAGGGAACGTCTTTGTAGCCTGTACATCGCACTGCAGGTCAAACAAAGGAACAACGAAGTTTCCTTTCTCCCTTCTTAGAGTTGAGAATGTGAGCCCTCAGGTGAAGGCCCTGCACTTTCTAAAAAGCCTTCAATCTGTACGTCCTTGTCAGAAATGAATCTCAACCTCTTAATACAGAAATCCCATCTTCTTTTCATTCACATATGGCCTGTCCTCTCTGTTTCGTGTGCAGATCTTAAGTTCACATCTGTAAGGGCTTTGCTTTTCTCTTTGAGTCCAACATGCCTTTGGGGTCAGGATTCGAGCACTAAGTCATTTAGGTAGACACTTTGGGGAGGCATAACTTGATGCTTATGTTTAGGAAGCAGACCTGACTAGGACTAGATTATTTGATAACCATTTGTGAATACTGAGTCTGCTAAGCAGTACAGATAACTGCTCTAAAAGATCATTAAATAGGATGCTGAAACTGCTTAACTACCATGTGGTGTGAGGAGGGGCAAGACTCGAGAAATAGGCAGGTGAGCAATACTGCTGTTAACTCATTCTCCAGGTTTCCCTCTGCTCATTTAAGCAACTTCCAGGCGCTGACATAGAGCTAGGCAAAAATGGCTTTAAGTTGGCTCTTTTTCGAATCCCTGTCTTACTCATTTCTGAAGAAATGTTCAAATGGTTCCTTTAAAATAAGAGAATATACCAAAACAGACAGATAGAATGCCAACTAGTATTTTTCTTTTAAATTTCATTCCTTGGTACATTGTAAACAGTTTTTTTTAAGGATGAAGTAAACTTGCAAGAAATTTTTAATCCTCATTTACCCTAAGCACTCTCAAGTAATAATGGAAATTGGGATTTCCTTTTTAATTTTGAAAGCTAAATAATTTTTAGGCTTATGGTCTTGAAATTTAAGAAAGCATTTGGATGCCTGTCAGTGTGTTCACAATTTTGGCCCTGCATGAATTTCTGCTGGCGTCCTCTGTGAATTTTCTACCTTCCAGCCCTTCATCCCTAGTGTATTAAGAATCATGTATCTTCCTGCCCTGGGATGTAACTGAATTTAGGGCTACCTGAAGAGTTGTTTAGTCCCCCTATGGAGATGGTACCAGTGCACTCTACTTTCATGATTCCGTCTTATTGGGAAACCTAATTTGTTCAAGGAGTTACCTGTGAGGGTATATTTGTTGTAAACATATACTAGTATTTTCTTAGCTGCATGACACAGTGGACAGAAAGAAGAGGCAGTGGTTCTGGTGTGGCAGGGACAAATAAGGACAAGGGTGATTCAGATTTGTAGGTGACAGAGAATGTTATGGACATAGTGCTTTCTGTGGACCTCTGGGCGGCTGTATTTGCTCCATCTCACCAGAGGAAATGGCAGCAACTAAAATAAGCATGAGGGTCAGATACGAAATAAATCAAATTTTACATAACAGTTGCAAGCCCAGTTTATTTAGGTGAGATTTCACAGTGCAAAATGTATTTGAGGGGCATGAAAATGGGTTATCCTCTGTGTTTTCCAGTTTGGCAGAAATCCAGAAATTCATCAGATTGCTTTGTCCTAATTTTGCCCAGAATTTTTATCTCCAGCTCCTTCTGGAGAGTAGGCTGCCTCTCTGTAATAGAGATGAGTCGCTGTTACAAAGACTTTTAAACCAGTGGGCGTGGCCTGCAGGAAGACTGGAGGGAGGAGGCCTGAAACACCAGAGGGTCAAAAATGGCTAAAAGAAAACTTACAATTCAGCTTTAGAAAGAATTAGGTCCTATCTGCTGACATACATGCAGGTGATTGTGTGAATAAGTTATAGTTTGCATGCACATGTGTAAAAACATCTTCTGAGGAAAATTCATAGGAAGGGGCACTAGTGTTTTCAGACATGTGACAAAAGCATAGAGTTAATACTTGAGAGTTAGGTTTACTTTACCAGATTGTATTAAGAAATCCTAACATTATGAGTGTGTCTTTAGGGCTGATGGCAACTTAAAGTCTTCATTATTTACATCCAGAAAA